GTGTACAAAATGGCCATGAGGCTGGTCAAAAAGTTGCCGCGCTCGACAATCTCGGTCGTGATGGAGGGCGTCGTCAGCATCTGCAGCGAGATGTTGATGATGGAGTGGTCGGGCTCGCGGTCGCCAATCAGGTACAGCTGGGCCAGGGTGGTGTAGAGGCCGGCAAAGCGCAGGCCGAGGACGCGCTTGAACTCGGGGATGGTGACGACGGTGGAGATGTAGAGCGACCGCAGGTCGTTGCGGACCTTCTTCCACATGCGCAGGTCAAACAAGATCAGCCAGTCGAGGCGCACGCGCTGGAACAGGTCCTCCGCCGGGGGCACGCCTTCGACCTCCATGTAGTCGGGCGGGACGCCGAGCCAGTAGCGGCCGGGGTTCGGGGGCTCGGCCCGGTCGGACAGGATGTTGCCGGGCGTTTTTGGGATGTCGAGGCCGGACTTGGAGTACGCAGTCGGCGCAATCAGCGGCTCGGCCGTGTCCGAGTCGGAGGGTGTCACGTCGCGGTCACGGTGGCTGCGGCGCGAGGCTGCTGCGGCGCCTGCTGCTGCGCCTGCTGCTGCGCCGCTTCTCAATGCGGATGCCGAGCCTGGTGCGTCGGCATTGTGCGGCGCGGAGCCCCGACGTGATCGTGACGATGTTGTCCGAGAATGTGAGGGGTGTGCTGGCGGTGGGGGAGGGGGAGGAGGAGGAGGAGGAGGAGGTGGTGGTGGTACTGATGCACGCGGGTGTGCCGTGCCAGACATAGCAGCCTCGCCTTCGTCCAGCTGGTCTTCGGCCGGCTGCCAAGCGCTGCCTTCCATAATCATGTCGCTGTCCTCCCCAGTTCCTCTGGCAGGAGCAGCTTCGTCGTCTGCGGCGGCCGATGGGCCTTCGCTGGCCTCACTGGCCTCGTTGGCCACGCGCTCGTCGCGCCCCGTCTCTGCTCCTGTCGCAGCCACCGCCGTCGCCGTCGCCGTCGCCGGCTCGTTGGGCTGCACATCAATCATCATCATGTCGTCGTCGTTCTCGTTGTCGACGGTGATTTCGCCCGTCACGATGCCCATGATAGCGGCACCGACCGCCGCCCGGTGGGCTTCGTTGTTGATGGTGTCGCTGACCAGGTCGCCGTCGTCGTAGTCGTCGTCCTCTTCCTCCTCGTCGTCGTCTTCGTCGAGGGCGTCGATGAAGCCGTCCATATCGTCGTCAAAGTCGTCCTCGTCGTCCTCGTCGTCGCCGCCACCGCCGCCGCCGCGGCCGTTTAAGGCATCGAGGACAGCCTGTTCAGCGGCGCGGCGCATGCGGAGCAGGTCGATCTCGTGGGCGAGCACGGGGTTGGACTCGGGGTCCTGTGTCAGCAGCTCTTCGTCGTCGATGCCGTTGGCGCCGACAATGGCGTGGGTGGCCGGGCTTCCCTTGCGCCACGGCCGCAGGAGCTCCTCGCAGACGACGCGGCGCAGGATGTCGTGGTCGCTGCCGACACTGCAGCCGGAAATGTCGCCCAGCCACTCGATAATGGAGCCGCACATTTGCTCGCGGAAGGTGTCGCGCGACGACCGGATGGTGACGGTGACCTTGATGTCCTCGAGGATGCGGGCGGCGTTCAGCAGCTCCTCGATGCTCCGGGAGTGCATGAGCAGGCTGCGGCCAATCTCGTCCGTCTCGTAGGCGCGCTTGAGGCCCTCCGGCAGCGTGGTGCGGCAGGCGCGGGCGACTTGGTGCATGACATCCGTGACGGTGTGCTTCTCGTCGTTCCACAGCAGCACGGCAAACTCGTTGGGCTGGGTGTCGTCCGCGCCGTCGCCGGGGCCGTAGGCGCCCGACAGACGCGACATGCGCTCGTCCTGCTGGATGGACTCGAGCGTCTTGGTCTGGCGCAGCTGCTCCGGCGAGCACGACACAACGTCGCACATAAAGTCCAGGGCGCGGCCAATGGTCATGCGGATGCTCGCCTCGAGCTCGGGCGGCGTCCCGGCGGGCGCCTTGCCCTTGTCCTTGCCGGCGCTGCCGCCGGCATGTGTGTGGCCTGCGCGGTCTGCGTGGCCCGCGTGGCCCGCGTGGCCCGCGTGCTCTCCGTGGGGATCGGTGGTCTCGGTCCAGGCGGAGTGAATGGTGCAAAACATGGGCGTCTTCCAGGCCTCCGGGTCCCCGCAGTCGCAGCAACCACTATTGCCAGGCGAAACACTGATGCGGACCATGTGGCCTCGGTGGTCGGTGGACTCGAAGCAGCGGCTGCAGAGACAGCACGTGTCGTCGGTGCCGCACGTCTTGCACGAGTAGGTGGCCTCGCCAGGGCGGAAGATGTGGCCGCAGGCGTGGCCGCGGGCGGCTTCGGTGTACTCGGCGCCGTTGACGGCCCCCTGGGCCTCACGCAGCTTCAGAGTGCCGCCTCGCACGGGCCCGCCGGCGGTGGGGAAGAAGAGGTTCATGTACTCCTCGCGGCCGCTGGCCATGCACCAGAAGAGGCTGCCAAGCAGCTGCTGCTCGGCGGCCTCGCTGTAGCGGTTCCCATGCTGGGTGTTTAGATCCCGGAGAAACTCGCAGAGCTGCCGCTCCTGGGTTGAGATAGGGGCGGCCATGGCCGCGTGCAGTTGGCAGTTGTCGAAATAAAGGATGCCGCAGAAGACTCAGAGGTGAGAGAGAAAAGGAGGAGGTGAAGGAGGAGGAGGTGTTGGAGCGAAGCGGCGTCGTTCCTCAGGCCCGGCGACGTGGTGTCATGGGCACAGAGCACGACGGGCGTATGCGTATGTGGTAGGCTAGGCAATCTGGTGCAGGCTGTTGGTTGCTGGTTGCGGCTGAAGCTGAAGGTGAAGGTGAAGGTGAAGCTGTTTTGGTCGTCTCGAGAATGGTGGGAAAAACGGCGGCAGCGTGGGTTCGGAGCTCCAGCTGAGACAGGGTTCAGACCCACGTTGACAGGACCGCTCCCGGGGTTTGGAGAAGGTCGTGGGAGGCGACAAAACCTCGTTTCTCGGTCAAAAGGCGTCTTTGCTTTGGAGACGGAGGCGTTGGGGGGCGACGATGTCGACTTTTGGTGGGCGATGGCGAGGATGATGTTTTGGTCACTCTCCTGCCACCTGCCGGTGTTGTCGCCAGGGCGGTGGCCGTCGCTGGTCGCTACTGCCGTTTGGCCGCTAGGGAAGGCGCTGAAGGCACAAAACAGGCCCAGGTAGGCTTTCTACGAGGCAAGAGGTGTGGTGGGGTTGTCGCCCGAGGAAGGTGCAATTTGGGGTGTTTTGGGGCAGTTTGGAGCAACTGGCGGGGTTTCAGAAGTGGCAGGCGCCAGTGTGATCTTCGAGGAGCTCAGAGAGCTGTTGGCAGTTGCTTAGCTGCTGAGTCGCTATAAGCCACTATGCGTCGCTATTATTCAGCTGGCGGCAAGACCGGCAGCCGTTCTCCAGCGGAGCCGGGCAGCTTTGCATTTTCTACTCCAACAACTGCGCAAACGCCGCAATCGCCTGTTCCGCTCGCTACCGGCATCTTTTCATCACGCACAGGCGGTCGTCCGCAGCTGAACGGCACATCTCGTCGCCGTCATGGACGCGAGAGGTGAAGTGCGTGACGGACAACAAACACATCGTCACGTGACGATCTTGGCGGAGCAGCAGTGAAGCTCCCACACCCAAAGACGCCTTGCCATCATGGGCCCAATTCATCGTCGACACGGCATGTCTGCATGCTCTTGTGGTGGAATGGTCTATTTCGAGAACGCCCTATCTAGGCTGGTGTGTGGCTTTTGTACAGAAGTGACCCGCCCCGCCGCACCACGCACGACGGGGCGGCCGTGCAGATGCTTGTCGTCTATCCATGACTGCGGTCCATGCGTCTGCAGTTTCGTGTAATTCGCATTTCCTTCCCTCTTCCCTCCTTCCCCCGTCCACCGTCCGTCATCATCGCGTGGGCACAACGTGACAACTCTACTCGTCGTCCTCATCGCCGCCCTCCAGGTACTTGGACCGGATGTCCTTCCATTGGCGCTGTGTGTGTTAGCAGGCGTTGTGTCTCGATGTTGTGGCCGTGTGGAGCGGTCTGGACTCTGGACTTACGCCGCGGTTGATGTTGTCCCACAGCTTGTTCATGCCGGTGTCATAGGCCCTAGATGCAGAGTCAGATGCGTCGTGCTTTTCGATTGTGCGTCGTCGTTCGTCGCCCTGGGTCGGTTCTTACATCTGGAAGCCGAATGCCGCGCCAAAGACGACGGTCAGCATGGCGTAGTTCTGGCGGAACAGAGTGCTATAGTAGGCGTGCGTGTTAGCAGCGTCTTTGGTCACATGGACATGCATCAAGAGACTCGTTGGCCGTCGGAGCCGGAGGGAGGGACTTGCTTGTAGATGGAACCGTAGGCGGCCTGGCAAGAGAGAAAGAAGCAGTTAGCAGTCGGCTCTGGCAGGAACGGACAGTATGGGGCGCCAATGGCGACGTCAAGATGGATCCTCGTCGCGACTCGAAGCTGCGTCCGAGGCCATCCAAATTGAACCGTCACCGTCGGGCCCCAGCCGAGAGAGCGGGAAACACGGCGCGCGTACCATTGTAGCAGAGATCGGTGTCTTGCGACGGGCGAGTGGGAGAGATGGGGTATTGGAGAGGCGGGACGTGGTGCGTGGGAGCGTGAGGGCGGTTGCGGCTGTGGGATTGAATCTGGAGTGCGGGCGTGCGGGTTTTTGGCGGCGGTTTGACGATTTTCGGAAAGTCTCGCCAAAATGCTGTTTTTCCTGCATTACCTAATCTGCCGTCTAACCAACAATTGGTGGGCTGTGATTGGCTGGATTTGAGTACTTGTGGACCCATTTTTATCATAGGCATCGGGGCACATGCTGTCGTTGAGCTACAGAGGGGAATAGAAAAGTACCTTCCATTGACTGAGACGCATACAAAATTCGAGAACCAAAAAAAAAAACGGAATAAAGAGACAGGAAAAATAAACCAATCGAGCTGACATTGTTTACGACTCGACGACGACGACGTGTACCATTTTTTCTGGTTCTCTTTTTTCTCTTCCATTTCTTGGATTCCCCCGCGCACCCGCCATGTCCTCGCAGCCAACCAATGCCGGCATCATCACGGACGCGGCCGGCGTCCGCCATATCCCTGAATCGACGCGCGCCGACGGCAGCACACGGCGGGCCATTAAGATCCGGCCGGGGTACCAGCCGCCCGAGGACGTGGCGCTGTACAAGAACCGCACGGTGGAGCAGTTCCGCAACCGGTTGAAGAACGGCGTGCCGGGCGCGGACGTGGACGAGGCGCCAAAGCCAGCGAAGACGGAGGTGGCAGCAGCTGCGAAACAGACGTCTGTTCCCGGGGCTGTTCCCGGGGCTGTTCCCGGTGCTGCTGCTGTTGGCGAAGCGTCAGAGAGTGCCTCGGCTGCTAATAAGAACGCCAAGCGCCGCGAGGCCCGAAAGAAAGCAGCTGCAGCCGCAGCGGCCGCGGAGACGGCGGCGGCGGCGACGACGACGACGACCACCACGACCAGCACTCCTGCGACCACCACAAAGAGCACCGGCGACGCTGCGCCTGCGGCCGACCCGGACGCAGACCGCGAGAAAAAGGCGCGCGGCCTCAAGAAGAAGCTCAAGCAGGCCAAGGAGCTCCAGAGCAAACGCGACGTCGGCGAGACGCTGCTGCCGGAACAGATTGCCAAGGTGATCCGGATCAACGAGCTGGTGCGCGAGCTGGACGCGCTGGGATTTGATGCCGAGGGCGAGAGCACGACATGAACGGGCGGGCAAAGGGAGTGGGAAATGCTAAGCTGTGCCGACCAGGCGCATTGGCACCCAACTTTTGCTTTTACAAAACCATACGCGCCGCCGATCGTCCACCGGCGGTCGTGTGACACCATCCCCCAACCCCCCGGATGGTCCGGGATACCTGGGATACGTGTCAACTTTGCCGGGCTCCGGACGCGTGGCGATATTCCGCGCTGGTCGCTTCGTCCGCCGGCCCATCTGAGTTGGAGATGTCTCCGTGTGGCGTGGCGACTCCCGTTTCCGGCCCAAGAACCGCGCCGAGGAGATGCGCCGAGGAGGCAGGGGACGGGGAGAGAACATCATTGACATGGAGACGAATATACAACATACAAACAGACTGTATGACGTAGTCAGGCGTTCAACCAAACGAAACGGCGGAGAATGCTGGCAGTGCTCTGTATTTTTAGTTTCTGCTTCGTCTAGTCTATCCATTTATAAAACACGCGTTACACCGTCCGCCCATTCTTGGCATTCGCCGCGTCGGCGCGCGAACAGCACTCCTCCAAGACCGTCCAGAAGCCCGGAATGTCCAGGCCGCGCGGGATGCGGACGCCCTCGGCGCCGGGCGGCAGCAGCTGGGCGACGGTGCGGCCCGTCTCGGCACGGCCGGCCAGCGCCTCGGCCGTTGTGCCGTCGGTCACGACCGTGACGTGATAGCGTTCGGCCGGCGGTGGGCCCGCCGATTCGCCTCCGCTGTCGCTGCCGCTGTGCACAAAATCGTAAAACGGAATGGCGGCGGCCGTGCCCGTCAAGACAGCCGCCACGGCCAGGGGGTCGTGCAGCGGCGGGCCCGCCGAAATGCCAAAGACCTTGTTGTACGAGTCGGCGAAGAAGTTGAGCAGCTGCACGAGCATCGTGCGCAGCACCGTCTTTCCTTGGCCATCCACGGCCGTAGGACTCGTAGTCGTAGTCGTCGTCGTCGTCGTAGTGTGTCCCGGCCCGTGGAGCAGCAGGGCCTGCACGTCGGCCGTCGCCAGCACCAGATGTGTGAGGTCCAGCGGCACGAGCGTCGTCTTGCGCGCGAGGCGCGGGTTGCCAAAGACGCGCGCCGCGGCCTCCGGGTCGAGCAGAATGTTGAACTCGGCAAAGGCCGTTTGGTTGCCAATGCGCGGCACGCCATTGACCTCGCCGGCCACGGCGGCCGTGAATCCGCCGCCGATGGCGCCGCCCATGATGGACAGGCCACCGAGGTGGTCGGCGATCGCGGGGTGCTTCTCGAGCAGCAGGGCCACGTTGGTCAGGCAGCCCGTGGCCACCAGCCAGGGCGTGCCGGCCGGCTCCGCCAACAGCGCGGCGGCCATGGCCTCGATGGCTTCGTCGGGATCCGTGCTCTTGGCGGCCGCAAGCGGCTCCGGCAGCAGGTCGGTGCCGTCGAGGCCCGTCTCGCCGTGGATGTCGGCGCTCGTGGCCATGGGCGGGCGCTCGATCGGCTGCGACGCGCCGGCGTAGACGGGGACATCGTTCTCTTTCGAGATGGCTGTGAGGATCGACCTTGCGTTCCACAGCGTGTGTCTGCGGATGGGCGGATGGTGAGCTGGCATCCAACGACCAGTACCGTCTATTGCTGCCGCACGAGGAACACGACCTACTTGAGCGATGCGTTGCCATAGACGGCGGAGATGCCGAGGAGACGGAGCGCCGGATGGTGGGCGGCCATGAGGATCGCGAAGACGTCCTGAGGGTTAGCGAGACACGCGAGCCAGCGCCACGCGGAGCGACGAGGCACTTACATCGTGGCCGGGGTCGCAGTCGAGCCAGACGGGAACGGGTGTTTGTATCTCGGCCATGGTGGACGGAGGGAGGATTGACGTGCGAGACGTGAGGATGAGGAGGAGAGGAGGTGGGCCAAAGGGGCATGGACGGGAGATCACACGAGAGGCTGGCCGCTGCTCTGGGAGTCGATGTACTATTGCTGGACTAAATAAGGACAACAAAAAAAGGCGTGGGTGTCTATTGGCGTTATGCGGCCGGATACATTGCCGAATCTTATCTTTTTGTGGAGGACGTGAAAGTTCGTTATGTTGGCGGTTTTCCAGTTTGGGTGAAGATGTGCTAAAGCCTGTATTCTGTATTCTGTATTCTGTAGGGTCCTTCCGTAAACAGATATTGGGGCTCGGCTAGTGGCGGCCGGAGTCAGGGGTAAGCAACGATATGGCAGGTGCGCGCCACGGCAGGCGCGACCGCAGCTCACAAGTGGCATAATACACCATCACCACTTTTTCTAAACTTCCAATAGAAATGATCAATGGGTATATTCAGCCAATCTACGACAGTATAGAGTAAGCTTTCCTCGCCCCGCCTGCGCTACGCCCCCGCCCGCCGCTTCTCGAGCACGCGCATCACGTCCTCGGCATTGTTGCCGTCGCCCTTGCGCTTCTTGCCGCTGCCGCCGCGCTTCCTCTTGGCCTTGTCGCCGCGCGATCCGCCGCCTTGGCCGCTCTCGTCGTCGTCCACGTTGCCGCCTGCGCCTGTCCCACCGTGCCACGTCGACAGCCGTTCGTGGCGGCCGCCCGCGCGGTCGTCGTCCAGGTCCTCCGTGTCTTCCAGCCGGTTCGTGCCAAAGCCCATGTCCAGATCCTCGGCGTCGCGGTCGCTGCTCTGCATCAGCGTCTTGAGCCGCGCCTCGCGCGCGGCCTCTTTCGAGAGTGCCTGGCTCTTGGCGTCCGCCTCGCTCGCCTCGCGCATCTGCTTGGCCTTGCGCAGGGCCGCCAGCACAGAGGGGTCCTTGAGCGAGGGGCCGCCGCGCGACGACTCTTCGGACAGCAGCGGTGCGCTGCCAAAATAGCTGCTTCGCGGCTTTGCAGCTGGCTGCGTTGGCTGTGATGCCTGCCGTCTCTCCCTCTCTCTGCTCGGAGACCGTCGCGGCCTGTCGCGGCTTCGCCTTGACGCCTCGCTGGCATCGCTGGCATCGCTGGCATCGCCGACTTCGTCGTCCCGACGGCTGGCAGAGGACGACCGTCGTCTGCGTTTGGCGTCTCGACGGTCCATGTCTCTGTCCTTGTTGTGCTTTTCCTCCTCCTCAGAGTCGTCCTGGTTGTGCTTCTCCTCCTCAGAGTCCTCATCGGAACTCTCTGCATCCATACCTGCCAGTGGATCGTAGTCGGACCCGGCATCGTCGAAAATGTCCACGTCCTTGGCCGCGGCAGCTGCCGCCTCGGCCTCCTGCTTCTTCCTGTAGAACTCGGGCACGTCCATGCCCAGAACGTCGCTTTTGGCGCTTTTGACGCCTGGTGCATCGGCGGTGCCCGTGCCACCGGTCGGCGGCGCTGCTTTCCGTACTTTGCGCTTCTCGTGTCCGTCCTCGTCCACAATCACCAGCACCTCGCGGCCGCGGCTGTCGATCTCGATGCGCGAGCCGGCCGCCTGCGGGGCCCCAATCTTCTTGAAGCGTGAGCTGAGTGCCGGTTCAGCGGCCGCGGCTTTGGCATGCTTGGCGGCCTCGCGCGCCGCCTTCATCTCGGCCAGAATCTGGTCCCGCGACCGTTTCTGGCCAGCAGCCGCCGTGGTCGAGTACTGCCCCTTTTTCTTGGCCTTTTCGCGCTCGACGGCCTGGACGTCGGCCGCTTCCAGCTGTTCGAATTCGTCGTCGACGTCGCCGGGGGGCGGGAATGCCGGTCCGTCCTTTTGTCTGTCGCCTCCCTCGTCTCCCCCGTCCTGCCCAGTCCCGTAGACATCCTCGCCCATGCGCACCCGGCTGAGCAGCTTAACGTCCAGGCCCTTGACCAGGTGCGTGCTGGACAGGTCGCCGCCGGCCATCTCGAGCCGCAGCTTCTCGTACACGGCCTGCTCGACCTCGCCCTTTCTGTGCAGCGCCTCGAGTGCCGCCAGCCGCGCCGCCCGGTCGCTGTCGTCGGCCTCTTGCTCCGACCGCATCTTGGCCCGGTCCACGTAGCCGGCGGCAAACGTGCTTCCTTTTGGATTCGACGTGCGGAATTTCTGTTTCTGTTTCTGCTTCTGTTTCGTTTTGTCGTCGTCGTCGTCACCGCCGTTGTTGTATCGCTCAGCCAGTTGCCGCGCAAAGGCCACTCTGCTGACGTCGCTACCGTAGCGTCTGTATAAGCCAGTTAGCTCAGAAAAGCTTCTGTGAGTCGCACTATTCATATAAGCCAGGGAGGAGAGAACGAGAACGCACGGCGTCATGGGAATGCTCGCTTTTTGCCGGGATCCAAGGGCTCGTGCCGCGCCCGGTGCTGCACTGCTGCTGTTGTTGGAGGTGCCATTTTTGCTGCCAGAGGACGCGGCCGAGCCGAGGGCCAGCTTCCGGAACTGGTCGTTGTTCATCGCGGCGGTGGACGTGCGTCGAAACGGCGATGCGATCGAGTGTTGTCAAAAGGCTGATGACGGAACGTTGGACGAAAACGTTGGAGGCCTGCTAATTTACAGTGGGTGTTGGAGCCTCGCTGTTAGAGGCCTCTGTATTTTGCCAGGGCGCTTAGGGCGCTTAGTGGTAGCGGTCTTGTTCCTATAGTGGGTCGTGCTGAAGAGCGCTATCGTTTCACGTGTTTTCGTGGCCTGTCGGCACCTGCCCGCTTTTGCCACTTTACGCGAGGCGCGTCATCTTCACCACTTTCTGACTTTTCACCTTTTCCTCCGCACACAGTTGCACTCCCATCCGTCCACCCCATTGTTCATCGATTCGTCGTCTGCGAACCATTCGGCTTGTCCGTCACAGCGGACGTATGTTGCGTGTAACGTCGACCGGCGATGGCTAGTGTCGCTGCCTGAGCTGGACGGCCGTCGAGCCCAAGCCATACTTTGATCGTTTCTGATTTCATCGTTCTGATTTCATCGTTTCTCATCGTTCTCATCGTTCTGATTTCATCGTTCTGCTTTCATCGTTCTGAACGTTTCTAAACGTTCATCGCAACGCATCCGCATGGCGAATCGCCAGCTCGACAAGAATGCGGCGGCCGTGCGCAAGCAGATCGCGTCCCGCAAGTTCGAGGGCGAGGATGGCGAGGAGTACGGCGCCAGCCGCTTCGGCGAGTTTGGCGACTACTTCCGGCGCAAGAAGCTCAAGCTGCAAAACGAAGACACCATCATGCGCCAGGCCGTCCAGGGCAAGCCGCAGATCTTCAAGGACGTGACGGCCCACGTGGCCAGCTACACGCAGCCGCCGTCCGAGGAGCTGCGTCGCCTGCTGGTCCTCCACGGCGGCGTCTACGTCAAGTACCTCGACTACAAGACCATGGTGTCGCACATTGTTGCGTCGACGCTGCCGCCCAAAAAGGCCGACGAGTGGCGCCGCCTGCGCGTCGTGCGGCCCGCCTGGATTCTGGACTCCATTGCCGCCGGCCGCATGCTGCCCTGGTCCGACTACCGGCTGATCAACGATGGCCCGGGCCAGACGCGGATCCGGCTGGACGGCAGCAAGATGGCCGTGCAGGCCGGGCGGCCGGACCAGATGGCTGGCTACCGCGAGCAGAGCAAGGACAGCTACTACGCCGGCCAGATGCAGCGGCTCGCTGCGTCTCACGAACGTGTAGGCACGACGACGTCGAGCATTTTTCAGCAGCTGGAGACGACGGTGCAGGGCGAGGACGGCGAGGACGGCGAGGACGGCGAGGACGGCGGGGATGGCGGGGATGGCGGGGATGGCGGGGATGGCGAGGGCCACGAGCACGACGTTCCCAACTTTGGCATCGACAGTGACCCGCTGTCGTCGTTGGAAAAGGAAAAGGGAAAGGGCAAGGCGGACGGTGTGGCAGCCGACAGCTCGTTTGATGCCCGCCATCTGCTCGAGGACGTGGACGTGGACGACACATATATGGAGGGCATTGAGCAAGAACCTACGGCAGAGTCCGACCCTGTGGCCGAGCCCGAGCCCGAGCCCGAGCCATGTCAAGACCTGCCACCTGGGCAGGGGATGATGAAAATGGACGACGCAGACGACGCAGACGACGACGACAAACACATGGCGGCCCTGCAAGCTAGCTCTCCGAGCAAGCCGCCCCGAGACGCACCTGGCAAGCCCATGACGTCGGAAGAACACAACGCTCTGCTGCTGGCCGACCCCAAGCTCCGCAAGGCATCCTCTGCGAACCCCGACTTTCTCAAGCAGTTTTACGCGGAGAGCCGGCTGCACCACCTGTCCACCTGGAAAGCCGAGCTCAAGGCCAAGATGCAGCGCCTCGCGGCGGACAAGGACAAGGGCCGGCGGGCGACCGCACCCACGGCCGCCCCAGGGAGCAAGACGACGAGACGCTACGTCATGCACGTCGACTTTGACAGCTTTTTCTGTGCCGTGTCGCTCAAGAGCGCGCCCGCGTACGTCGACAGGCCGGCGGCCGTGGCGCACTCGGCCGGCCGTGCCGCCGAGATCGCCTCGTGCAACTACCCGGCGCGCGCGTTCGGCGTCAAGAACGGCATGTGGATGCGCCGCGCGCTCGAGCTGTGCCCGGACCTCAAGGTGCTGCCGTACGATTTCCCGGCCTACGAAGAGGCCAGCGCGCTGTTTTACGAGGCCCTGCTCGCCCTGGGCGACGGCAGCGTCGTCCAGAGCGTGAGCGTCGACGAGGCCCTGGTGGACATTACGCGCCTGGTCGTCGGCGGCGACCAGGGCGACACCAGTGATCCGACCGTGCTGGCGCGCGAGCAGGACGCGGCCGACGCGCTGGCGGCCACGCTGCGGCGGCAGATCAAGGACTCGACGGGCTGCGACGTCTCCGTGGGCATTGGCGGCAACATTTTGCTGGCCAAGGTGGCGCTGCGGCGCGCGAAGCCCGCGGGCCAGTACCAGCTGCGGCCCGCGGCGGTGCTCGACGTCCTGGGCGACCTCGCCGTCGAGCAGCTGCCCGGCGTCGCGTACAGCATCGGCGGCAAGCTCGACGAGATGGGCGTCCGGCTGGTGCGCGACCTGCGCGCCCTCTCCAAGGACCGCCTCGTGACGGTGCTGGGGCCCAAGACGGGCGAGCGGCTCTACGCGTATGCCCGCGGCATCGACTCGGCGGCCGTCGGCGATCAGCCCGTGCGCAAGTCGGTGTCGGCCGAGGTCAACTGGGGCATCCGCTTCGTCCGCCAGGACGAGGCCGAGGAGTTTGTGCTCAACCTGTGCCGGGAGCTCGAGCGCCGGCTGCTGAACGAGCAGGTCCAGGGCCGCTCCCTGACGATGAAGATTTTGCGGCGCGCGTCCGATGCGCCGCTGGACCCCGAGAAGCACCTGGGCCACGGCAAGTGCGACGTGTTCAACAAGAGCGTGGTCTTTGGCGTGGCCACACACGATGCCGAGCGGATCGCCAAAGAAGCCGTGTCCATCCTGCGGTCCTTTCACTTTTCGCCCGGCGACCTCCGGGGGCTGGGCGTGCAGCTGCAAAAGCTCGAGCCGATCCGTGGTGGCGGCGGTGCTGGCGGTGGACTCGACGCGGCGGCGCGCGACAGCAGCCAAAAGAAACTGTCGTTTGGGAGTGCTGGTGTGGCGTCTGGAGCGCCGAGACCAGCATCAAGCCGGCCTGCCGTACAACATCAGACAGCCGACAAGCCAAAACCGCTACGAAAGAGCATCTTTACGACACCCGTTGCGCCTCTTGTGAGTAGAGGACACAATACGATGGAGGATGGTCCTAGACAAGCGGACAGTGCACTGCCATCCATGGCGCTTGCCAGCACACAGTTTTTTATGCCAGCCAACCCAGATCCCAGTGTGCTGGCCGAGCTGCCACCGGACATTATTCGACGCCTTGTTGGGGAGCGCCCGCAAGAGGTTGAGCACAGCGGTGCAGGCAACAACAGCAACAGCAATAGCAACAGCAACAGCCGGAACCTGTCTCCTGTGAAGCGAGAGTCGCGAGGACCGAGCCTGGCTCCGTCCGGCGTCGGCGACCTGCCGGCCGACATTGACCCCGAGGTGTTTGAAGCGCTGCCGGCCGACATGCGCGCCGAAGTCCTGGCCGAGTATCGGCGACATGCCCGGCAGCCGTCCCACTCGCCGGCGCCGTCACCGCGCCGTGGCAACAAGACCAAGGCGGTGCATGCGCCGGGACACGGCAGCGGCCATGCCGCCAAGAAAGGGTCGCCCGTCAAGCGAGGCATCTGGGGCACGCGTGGGCTGGCGGCGGCGGCGGCGGCGCGTGAACGCCGGCACGATGCGCAGGCCAACCGCGTGCAGACGAGCATCTTTGTGCCGCGGCCACCACCCGAGGATGCGGATGCGGATGCGGATGCAGGCATCGACAGCAACGGCGACGATGGACTGGAGGCGTTTGATCCCGAGGTCCTGGCGGCTCTGCCAGACGACGTGCGCGAGGAGGTACTCGAGGACTACCGGCGGCGGCAGCAGGCCGGGCAGGCGCAGCAGGCGCAGCTGGCGCAACCTCTGCGGCTCGAGATGCCTGCCCACCGCGGCCGCAGCGATGCTCCTCCTGCTGCTGCGCAGCAGCCGACCGGTGCGGCATCGACCGCGCTCGAAAAAAGACCCCTGCTTCTGCAGCAGCAACCGTTGGGGCTCAAGCGGCCCATGCTCCAGTTCCCAGCACCGCCGCCCAAGATGGGCTTCCGCGCATCGTCGTCGGAACACGCGCAAGAGGCGCCCGTCGTGCTGTCGCTGGCCGACACCAAGGCGATGCTCAAGACATGGCACAGCGCCACGCGCGACGAGGGACCGCACGATACCGACGTCGAGGTGCTGGAGCGGTATCTCGCGGGCGTGGTTACGCAAGAGTGCGACATGGAAAAGGCGCGTAAGCTGGTCGTCTGGCTGGCGTGGTTGGTGGACGAAGACGACGGCGAGGCGGTCGCGGACGACGACGATGGCACGGTGGGACGACAGAGCTGGCAGTTTGCGCTGGACCGTGTCAAAGAGGCCGTGCAGGCGGCGATGCAGACGCGAGGCCTCGGGCCGCTGCAGTTCTAGATGCTGCCACGTTCACGGAAAGAGACGAGGACACAATTGGAGGACATGCAATGGTCCGGTTTGACTAGTAACGACAATAATGATACCCCACATGAATTGAAAGTAACATAAAAATAAAAAAATAAAGATAATAAATCCATTACGCCTGAATGCAAGCCGTGGCCTAATAAAGCAGTGCGCTCAATAAATAAAATAAGAAACGTCAAAACGTCGTTTGGAGATCATAAGACGACAGTCTACCAGTCTGGCGGTTGGACAGTCTGTTGGACAGTCTGTTGCGACCATGCCGTTCTTTCAGTGTTCATGTGCTGATGAAGCATCGGCTCGCGTGACAGCTATGCAGGAACGTCTCCGGCATGCGCACCGCACCACCTCGCCGCACCTCACCGCATCAGTCTTACAGAAGCTGCACGGCGGCGGCCAGTCCAGCAACGGCGGCCATCGCACTCAGCGCAATCTCGGGCCGCGTGGCCGGCGATGTGAGCATGTACAGCTGCGGTTGGTCAGAACGAGCAGAGACAAAAACAGAGACAAAAACAGAGACAAAAACAGAGACAAAAACAGAGACAAAAACAGAGACAAAAACAGAGACAAAAACAGAGACAAAAACAGAGACAAAAACAGAGACAAAAACAGAGAGGGCGTCATGGCCTACCGTCAACCGCAGATCGCCGCCGCAGAGCGTGCTGTCGTCGCCGTCGCACGGCAGATTGCACTGCGCCTCGGCCTCCTTGGTGGCCAGCGACGACAGCGCCTGGCCGCACCAGCACTCGCGCGAGAACTCGAGCCCGGCATACGCGTAGGCCGTGCCGCTGCCGCCGCCGCCGCAGTACGCGAGGCACTTGGCCACGGTCATGTCGCCGGGGAGGACTTCGTCGGTCGTGTCGCCCTGGAGCGAGCGCGCGCCGGGGGCGGTGCCGTTGGTGCCGGCAATCTCGAGGTAGCAGCCCTGGTAGGCATAGTTGCGGACAAGGCCCGTGGCGGCGGCCGCGCCGGTTGTGGGCGCCTTGGACGCGACGTAGACGGTGCGTGTTGGCGTTGTGGTCGGTGTTGTGGCCGTTGTCGACGATGTGGTGGAAAGAGACGAGGCTGAGGCCGAGGCTGCGCCTGCGCCTGCCCATTGGAGCAAAAGGGCGGCCCCGGCGAGCATCGTTAGTCGCGCCTGCCGCATCTTGGTGCTGCTACGGCGCCCGTCGTGGTCGTCGGCGTCGGCGGAAGGCGCATTGGAGAGCGAGGGACCGGTGAGGAAGGCAAGAAGGGCAAGAAGGGCAAGAACAGCAAGAACGGCAAGAGACGCAGAAAGAAGGGCAGGAGCGACCGAAGAGGCGACCGAGCCACCGAGGGGAGTTTTGCCAAGACATTGTCACCCCGAATTTAAAAATAATTGTAAAATTCAAGCACCCTTATTTTCTTGGCTCTTTTTTGATTATGGGCGTCTCGCCTCGGTCTTGCTCCCTGCAGTAACGTTAAAACGACTCCACAGTGTATTACGCCAAGAGCCGTGTGTATGACAGGCCCAGTGATTGGCTGGCTGTTGGCCGCTGCGACCCGCCCAATAAAGTTATTTTCCTCGAGGCGTCTGCGCGGATCGGGAGAACAGAGGGTGCGGCCGTATTAATACGGCTGTGTGGAACATGTGTATCGTCTGCACAGAAAGCCACACTGGGCTCGGCATGTGCTGGTGACTTGCTGGCCCAGACCACGATCGGACGCTATTTGCATTAGATAACGTGATTTTATTTCCCTTGCTTTTGCTTTTTGCGTTGAGTCGTGACGTCTATATATATATGCTTTGCCTTTCCAGTACCGCTTTATGCATGATCCAAACGCCAGGAATTCTAAACCCAAACATGCCGCGGACTGGGGCAGACACGGTCGCCTGGACGCTCGTCCTACCGTCGGTGGCTCGTGCCCCAGCTGCCCACGAGCGCCATGGCCGCGGCGTCGCCCGCCGCCAGACGCCGGTCGCGCAGGGCGTCCGACACGCAGCGCCACGGATCGCGCCCGCCGCCGTGGCGCAGCAGGCTGTCGCGCAGGTGCTCGCCGTTCTCGCGCCGCAGGGCGCCGCCGTCCTGGCCGCCCTGGAACACAACGCGCCAGACCCGCTCGGCCAGCACGCGGTCAAAGAGGTAGCTGTAGTAGGTGCTGCCGTAGCCAAACAGGTGCCCGAAGAAGCCCTGCCAGCAGGTGCCGCTGGGGTCGACGGGCCCGCCGCCGGCCATGACGGCGCGCTGCAGGCCGTGGAAGATGTCCGTCGAGTGGTCGCCCACCGGCGTGGTGCCGTGGTACGCCTGGTCGAGCATGGCCAGCACGATCTGGTTCTCGTCGTCGAGGCCCTCAAAGCGCCGCGCGCGCCGCAGGCCCTCGGCCACCTGCTCGTAGTCGACCGGCGCGTCCGTCTCGTAGTGCCGCGCGAACAGCGCCAGCACCTCTGGGTCGGCCGCGAACTGCTCCATGAGCGTCGACGGCAGCTCGGCCAGGTCGGTGGCGCAGCGCGTGCCCGCCACGGTCTGCAGGGACGTGCGTGCCAGGACCGAGTGCACGGCGTGGCCCATTTCGTGGAAGAGCGTCTCGACCTCGTGGTAGCTGAGCAGCGCGGGCTTGCTCGTGCTGCTCGCCTGGCCAAAGAGCGAGGACAGGGTGCTGCCGCCGCCGCCGTCGCTGCGCGCAAAGTCGCATACGAGCGCAATCGTCGGCAGCTGCTTGACGGCGCCCGTTGTGCGGTCCCGTGACGTGGCCATGCCATCGTTGGCGGCGTCCTGCGCGGTCAGGCCGTTGTTCGCCGAAATCGCGCCGTCGGCCGCCGCCGCCTCCGCAATCTCGTCGGGGGCAATCTCGCGCGAGCAGCGCACCGTAAAGTGGGCCGGGTTGGGCGACTTGTCGCCGCGGTAAAACAGGTCACAGTACAGCACGGCCACGTGGCCGTCGGTGTCGGACACAACGTCGAGGCGCCGCACGTCGGGGTGCCACGTCTCGCCGGGCGGCGTCTCGCGGGGCACGAAACGGAGGCCGTACAGCCGCTGGAACAGCCGCGACAGGCCCTGCATGACGGTGCCGAGGGAGAAGTAGTGCGACAGCGGGCCACTGCGCTTCTTGGGCACCAGCCGCTGCCCTGTCGTCGGGTCCACCTGGCCGGTCGGCGCCCCTGCGGCCTGCCGCAGCACGCTCATGTAAAAGTCACGGTCCCAGGGGTGGAGGCGGAGCGTCGTCTCCGCGGCGTGCTGCGCGTAGCGCTTGGCCGCCACCAGGTCCTGCACCTCGCGCTCGACGAGCGGTGCATTGCTGCGCGACAGCGCCAGCAAAAACTGGTTCACCGACTCGGGCGTCTTGGCCATCATGCGGTCGCGCAGGGCCATGTGCGCGTAGCTGTCGAAGCCGGCGAGCTGGGCCAGCTCGCTGCGCAGGCCGAGCATCTGCTCCAGCAGGCGCACCGACGCCTGGGACGCCGTGCGCGACGCATAGTAAATTTTCTTGCGCGCGTCCTCGTCCTGGATCGTGCGCAGCGCCAGCGCGGCCTCGGCGCTGACGGCCGGCAGGCGCAGCGTGGCGCCGCGCGTGAACCGGCGGGCCACCGTGGGGTCCAGCCCGCGACAGGACGTGCTCGGCAGCGCCACCCACGGATCGGCGGGGGCCATCGAGTCCACAAAGCGCGTGCCGACCTCGCTGATCTGCTGCGACAGCTCGACGAAGCGGTCGCGGGACGCCTGCGGCAGGTTGACGGCCGACTTGGTAAAGTCGAGCTTGAGCATGTCGGCCACGGTGCGCTCCTCCTCGGACCAGCCAGACACCACGTCCGGGTTGGCCATGGCGATGCCCAGCTGGTCGTTGAGCACGGTCGTCGTGTTGAGCTGGTTCATGTACTGGTATGTGGTGGCCCAGGCCTCGTTGGCCGCCTGCTGCGTGTGCGCGTCGGGCGGTGTCGTGCGCACAAAATCGCAGAGGTCAATGACACGGCACAGCAAGTCGCTGAGACGGTCGAGGTCCCGCACAATGCCGCGGTACTCGTCGAGCGTCGAGGCCCGCGCCACCTTGTCGACGATGCGCTGTGCCTTGGTCAGGCTGGCGTGTGCAAAGTGCAGAAAGCCTGCAGGCTCGGTCAAGTACGCGTTCCGGAACAGGCCGGTCTTCTTTCCATGGGCAGCGCTGCTGGATGCTTTGAATGCCGCCCAGGCCGTTGGCGAGTCGAAGATCTCCCGGAGCGTGGTGTCGTCGTGGGCAATGCTGGCCGCGTGGTCGACGGGCGTTCGGAGCACGGACGAGGCAGCGGCAGCGGCCGCGGTAGCAGACGACGCGTCGTTGCCATTGTGGGCCGATGCCTCGGCAGCTGAAGTCGAGACGGTAGCGGAGGAGGCCGGCGTGCCCCAGAAGAGCGAGCGGCGTCGTGGCAGCTGCCCAACGCATTGGCGGCACACCCACGTCTGCGGCCGGGTGCGCGCAAACTTGATCATTGTGGCGGCGTATAAAGAGCGCTGAGCATGGCAGTGGGGAGGAAAGGAGAGAGGAGAAGAGAAGGAGAGAGGAGAAGGACAAAGACGATTAAAGGGGAGACGAGGAAGTCGTCCCGATGTCGTCGGTGCGGCAGGAGACACCGAGTTCCTTCCGAATTCGCTGTTAGTGGGAATTGGAATTTTCTCGCTGTAGTTTTCTGTTTGCCCTCAGTGGCTCTTGCCATGTTGCCTCCCTCAAGTGCTCGCTCGCATGCCCTGTAATTCGTCCTAGGCAGTTGCATCAGTGGCTGTTCTTTCCCCGTACGGGCGCCAATAGCTAGTGGGACCGAATTAAATCAAATCAGATTTTAAATGCGAAAATGGACACGCAAAGCAGGCCACCCGGAAAATAGCCGCGTCTGCTTGGGGGAAGGTGCGCTCTTGCCGCGGACGGAAACGCTCAAAACTCGCCAGCTCGCCCAAACGGCAGGCACGCCCCGAGCAGACGAAAAAACGCATGAAAGCAGCTTTTCGTCCCTTGTTTTCTCACTCATCTCATCACCAACTGCTCATCCACACCACCGCCCCATCGCCCGTCGGCATCACCACCTTTCCTCCCCATCCGACCGGCGTCCTTCTTTTCTTCGTCAATCGTTTCTGGGTTGGCCCAGCTTTGCAGCGGGTTTTGCTTCTTTTCAATTCTGTTTTGTATCCTTCTTGTCCCACACAATGGCGGCCCGAGTTCTGTTCCATCGGGTTCGTCACGCTCCATCCCCTTGCCGCCAACTGGTCTTGCCAGGCGCGTCACTCTGTCGCAATGTGCTGTGGCCGCAAAACTGACCTCGCTTGTGTGATTTTGCAGACAGCCGCCGCGCCCGTCGCCGCAACACTGCTGCTGGGCGGCACGATGCTCTACCCTCGGGCAGCCTATGCCGAGGTTCCGGACAACTACGTACGTTGCGAGGAGGGAGAACAGCGGGATGCGGGATCGCACAGCCATGCTAAATGCTAACACCGTACCAGCGCAAGCCCATCTACGACGACTACGACGCGCCGGCCACGTCGGCCACGCTGACGCCGACGCCGACGCCGACGCCTGCCTCGACCGACGACACCTCCTCGTCCTCTTCACAGTCTGACGCCCCCTCCATAATACCCTCGTTCTCGTCCGCTGCGTCGGACGCCCCCACGGCTGTCCGCCGCCCCCGCGGCCCGACGCCCACCGATCGCCTCGCCGGCCAGATCGGCCGCGCCCGTCTGTTCCTGTACCGCCAGGCCTGCAAGGCCGAGGACGGCGTCAACCGCACGGCCGACCAGCTGTTTGGCCTGGAGCGGTCGCTGACGGAGACGCTGGCGTCGCTGGCGCCGTCGCGCGAGAGCGGCGAGCGGCTGCTGCCGGGCGCCGTGTACGTGCTGGTGGCGGGCATGGCCGGCAGCATTGTGACGCGGCGCAGCAACATTCTGCTGCGGGCGACGGTGCCCCTGGCGTTTGGCGTCGGCGCCGGGTGGGCGCTGCTGCCCGTGACGATGCGCAACTGCGCCGACCTGGCGTGGAAGTACGAGCAGCGCGTGCCGGCGGTCGCGGAGGCGCACCTGCGGACGCGGGCGGCGCTGGAGCGGACGGCGAGCTTTGCCAAGGTGCACGCGGAGGTGACCAAGACGTACGCGGACGACAAGGTGCACGCGGTGCGGGAGACGGTCGAGGACTGGGTGAAGCAGGGGAAATAGGAGCGACGTCGTTGCGTGTGCGGGTGAAGCATGGCTTCCCGTTTGTATTGTCATATACGTGTATTACATTTTGTATTGTATTTCCCCCCCATTGTATTATAAAGAAGAAGGGGCGAATGCACCAAAACCAGGAGGATAGCATAGATGGTCGTTTTACTTTGTCAAATAATCATTATATTCCATCATATACAGTCTGTCGTAAGTCTAATCTAGTGTACAGAAAGTGTCGGGAGACAGCATGAAAAAGAAACAAAGGAAAGAATCCGGGTGGGGCACACCTGGTCTCATAAGCTTGCTTCCACGGGCTGTTTTTTCGCCCCGTCGAGGCGGACCAAAAGGTGCAGCACCCGCTCGTACGTCCACATCGTAATCGCATTGGCCGGGGCGGCCTTCATCAGGCTGACCGTGAGGCCTCTGTACAAGCCGCGCAGGCCCTCGGCCCGCAAAATGGTCTGCAGCGTCCGCACGACGTTGCCGTCGTACACGGGAATGTTCTTGTGCACGTAGCGGCTGCGCGTCGGGCCCTGCACCTGGATGCGTTTGCGCACGAGGTCGAGCGGGAAGACGCACGTCTTGGCGACCACGGCCGCCACCACGCCGGCGGCGGCGTCGCCGGCACCGATGCTCTGGCCCACATGGCCTGCCAGGTGGCCGGCGACGGGCTTGAGGCCCTCGTAGCACGCGAAGAAGGCGCCCATGTACGGCGCAATCTGGACCAGGGCCGGGCCCAGGCCACGGAAGAAGCCGCGGCCGCCCTCGTCGCGTGCAATGTCGCGCACGGCGCCGCGCAGGCTGGCATACACGCGGTCGGCCCCGCTCCCCTGGGCGGCAAAGCGGGTGCGCAGCAGATCGAGCGGGTACGTGGCGGCCGTAGCGGCCGCACCGGCGGCGGCGCCGGAGACAAACGAGTCGGTATGCGGCCAGGGAGCGGTGCCGGCGGCGGCATGCACACGGGCGAGAGCGACCGAGGTCGCGCGGTAGGCTGTAAACTGGACAGCGCCATAGCACACGTAGAGCAGCTCGGCCGGGACGTTGCCCTTCCAGAGGCCCGCCAGGCCTTCGTGCCGCAGAATGTGACGCATGGTGCGCAGGGTGCCCTTGTACACAGGCCCGCCCTGGATGTCGCGGCGAGAAAAGAGAAGGGGGTCGGAGAGGGAGTGGGACTGCAGCTGGAGGCGGATCTTGACGACGTCGAGGGGGGCGACGATGAAGCGCGCAATCAGGCCGGCCGTGCCGCCCGCGACGACGACCTGCATCCTGGTGCCCTTGCGTGTGTTAGTGAGAGCCTTGCAGCCTTCCGTATGCCATCCCTTGTCTTTATCGTCTCCCATCGTCTTTCACCGTCTTCCGTCGCTTCTTACCTCATCTTGGAGGCGCTTTCCCTTGCTAGACATGCATGCGTGTGGCGGCTAGCCGGCAGCCTGCCTTGGAGGCTGGAAAGATACGTCGCCTGCAGGTGAACCACCAGCCTGGCCGGTTGGGCTATGGGCGGGTCAGATGAAAGGGTGATGATGCCGTGCCGTGGTAGAGGAATTGATGTCGCCGTGAAAATAGACGTCAAAGTTGACGGCGAAGGCGCCGAAAGGGGAAGTCGCTTTTGCTGGTTGTTGGGGATGACGATAACGAAAAAAAGGCAGGAACGGAAGCGCGATAACAAAGAAAAAATGCCCGTGTTTGGTTCGCCAAGCGGAATTATCGAATTGTTTTTCGAATAAAATTTACCTGTCGCGGCCTATCATAGCGTGCCTGCCAAGCGGGTATGCCTCTAGCGTGTCAGTACGCCGCTGCAAACCGCTGCTATTAAGCCGACTGCACGCTAACGTGCTACGTCATACGCGCTGAAGCACAGCGTACATCCCCTGGAGACAGATTCGAGGCATCGCCAAAGAAGACGATGTTCGCATCGCAAAAGATATACACTTGGACCGAGGCCAGGGTTTCTTTCCATTGTCGTTTTGCTCATTGTCCGTCGTACGCAGACATCACACAAGTGCAACCATGCATTTATCGGAAACGCCGTAGTCCTCGCCACGCGTTCTGCAGGATGGTATGTTCCAGTCAGAGACAGGCGGTCATTGATGATGGTGTGGCTTATGGCGACGGCCAGCAGCCAAAGTCGACCATGTCGCACTGGAAAGAGCTGATCTCGCCGGTGCCGTTTCAGTGCCGTCCAGTTGAGTAAACGGGACGCTGTTCGTTTGCTTCTGCTATATGGCACGCTGTTATTGTCCTGTTAGTCGGCCTGTGACTGTTCAGCCGTGTGGTCGTCTGTTGTTTCCAATAAGGATATAGGATATCCAATCCGTCCTATCGGTTGTGTTTCAGCCGGCAGTCGACGACGCGCGATTGGGAGACGCATTGAAACGGAGAGAGAGTCGCGAAATGGCTGCTCTCCCCTTGTCTTTCGTCTTCCCCCTGCTTCTTTCCTCTTTTCCTTCTCCTTGTGCCTTCCCCCACGGCCGACGTCGTCACAGCGGGACCCAATTTGGCAAGAAGACGCACCATCGTGCCTTCCCTGAACGTGGGCCGGCCTCGCTTGCGAAACAACACGCGCTGGACCCCAGGCGTTGTTTCCTCGACGCTCATTGGTTCCATCTGCCCGAAGCGCATGTGGCCAGGGCGGACGGAGAGAGGGGCGGTACCGGTGGAGACTCTCAGGGCCTCTCCTGTGTTGTTGTAGAACTGGGTATTCTGTATTCTGTACTAACAAAGTGCATTTGGGGCGCATTTCGTGTCGATTTTCCCCGTGGAGGCAGGAGCGACTAGTGGAAAAAATAGCACTTTCTCCATCCGACAAGAACGTTGCATCTGGCGTGGGCGGTGCCTGTCTGTCCCTCGTGCCTTCCTCTGCCTCCTCGTGCGTCCCGTTAAGAAGACCCTCGTCGCTCCTCCCCTCACATGCGAATCGTACAAAGTACTCCTGGGCTCCTTCCTTTGGCTCTCACACACTCATTTTACTTGGCTCTGGGATACTCCTTCTCTTTTTAAAACAGCGCTGCCTCCCCTCCTTCCCCCAAACTTACCCTCCTTATCACCAAAGATCGACGTCCTTCATTCTCGTCAACTTCACTTTTCCTTCAGCCTCCTCTCATTCTGACTGGGGACCGTCCGCTGCGCCATACCACAACCGACCCACCGCCCTGGCAGAGTGCCCTTGCAGCACCTTGCAGAACATTGCAGAACAGAATCGAGTCAGCAGCCAGCAATCCCACTACAACCAGCAACTATCTGCATGTGACTGGACAGTCAACGGCGGCGATCGACCCAAGACAAGACCCGTGCGATCGACGACGCAAACTACCTCACGAAGCGTTTACACCTCGATTTACGTTTACAACAGCATTTATCACAAAATCCTTGCCAGAGACACCGTTTGTCGACTGACAAACTTGTTGTTCCTGTCCTCTCTTCGTCCCTCCTCTTCTCTCCCCTCTCCCCACCGCACGCGCCATGGCAGAGGTCGTCCGCCCGCTCGACCCGCGGGACATTGTGGCGCCTCTGCTGCCGTCGCTGCCTGTCGCCGCCATCGCCTCCCAACCCGCCTCGGGCGTCCTCCCGCTGCTCTCGCCCATCCTCCGCCAGCGCGTCCAGTTCTTGTCCGCGTCGAGCTCCGAGCCCTGGATCCGCCTGCTGTCCTACGACCCGGCCAAGGCCGCCAAGCTCGCCGAGATTGCCCGCAGCGCCCGTCTCGAGCCGCACCCGGTCTCGGGCGAGATCGAGATCGACTGGGACTCGAGCACGGGCGACCACGTGGAGACACGGTACAAGCGGCTGGACGTGGAGACGCTGCAGGCGCTTGTGCTGCTGCGGGACCTGGACCTCGTGTTCCGGCTCGTGCACTGCGCGGGCGACGAGCAGGGCGCCGGCCCGGCGGGCGGAAGCAGCGGCTGGCGGGTGGGCGAGGTGAGTGTGCCGGACGTGCCCGATGCGTTTGCGTCCTTTGGCGGGCACGCCACGGTGGCCGAGGCCGAGGGTGCCTTTTCCGCGGTCGCAGCGCCGCCGTTGGCTGCCGGCACCGCCAACCCGACGAACAGCATACCAGCTTTTGGTAGCTCGACAACCGACAACAACGATATCAACGACGACGACGACGACGACGACGACGACTACTGGGCACGGTACGACGCCACGCCCGCCCGCACACCGGCCGTCAAGCGCTCGCCCGCACCCCCTTCGATACGACAGGCCACCCACAACGAGGACAGCAGCAGCCACGCCGGCCATGATCGCAGCAGCCAACCCCCCCACGCAGAGTCCGAGGACGCCTACTTTGCCCAGTACGACACCGTCCAGCCGGCCATGGACAGCCACGACCCAGACGAGGTGGTCGACGGCGAAGAGGGACAGTCGGGGCTGACGGGCGGCGTCACCGCCGGCTTGATTCGCAGCTACAACCTCGGCCAGCAGGCGGCGTCCGCGGCGGCCGCGTCGTCCGGCGCTGTGGCACCAGCACCAGAACACGCCGTCGTCGACGACGAGTACGAGGTCGACCACGAGCGCCTCGCCAACCTCGTGCACCCGCGGCCGGCGTCCGCGTCGAGCCACGGTTCGTCGTCGCTGGGCGGTGCCGGTGGGTCCGGCGGGTCGGCCGTGATCGTGTCCAAGCTCGAAGCGTCGGCCGGTCGCCAGGAGCAGAGCGAGTTTGGTGTCAAGCAGCACGTCTCGCGCAGCATCAAGAGCCTGTACATGCTGGCGCGCGCCTCGGGCATCGACCGCGACGAGTTTGAGCAGCTGGTCAAGACCGAGCTGGACATGCTGTCGATGCTCGAGGAGTAGGACGTGGCGTACGCGAGGTTGTTTTGTCTTTTGTCTTATGTCTTTTGTATGTTGTATATTCTGTCTCCTTCCTCTCTTGCATCTGCGGCGTTTCGCGAGCGTCTGCTTCCTTGCCGTTTTCTTCTGGAGTACTGCATCGGAGCATCTGGGTTCGGCATTTGTTTCTGCGCTTCTGTCTTCTGTCCCGCTTTTGTCTTGCCCATATACTTGCCTTTTTGCATTTTGTATTTTTTGTATCTGTCGTGACGACAAGTTCGATATAGCTTCACATAGCCTTTGCTTTTGTATTTCTGCAGCCTTTTCGCAAAATTGCATTCTGTATTCTGGAATGCTCTGGTCTATGTTGATATATTGTCTTTTGACTCGTAGGACTTTGCCAAGGGTGGACGCAATTCCGAGGTCCACTGTAATGCCCTGTAATGCCCTGTAATCAACTCGCTGTGGAATGCTGTGCTAAATGGCGGTCAAGACCGGCAGAATCGGGCATCTGGCGGAAGCAGACGATTTTTTACCAGCCAGCGGCTATAGCCTAGAAAAAAGCTTCATGTTTGCGGGCGCGTGCGACGACACCACGACACCACTCACGCGACACCGCATCCCGACGACGACCGACGGCCACTGCACACCCTGTGACAGCGCCAATTGATCGACATCTACTCGCGTCCTGCACCATGTTCCGTCCGAGGTTACGGGCGCCGGCCGCGCTCGGCGGTAACATCACCATCAGCAGCAGCTCCGGAGCATCCATGTTGGCGCGGCGGCCGGCACAGAGCGCGCTGGCGCCATTAGCACAGGCCCGCCGCAGCATACACCACCTGCCCGTGTCGCGCCACGATGCCCGTGTTGGTGTGCCCAACCTGCTGTCCGCCGAGGGCTTCGACCTGGCCTGGACGCAGCACATGACCCTGATGCTCAACCGCCTGAACCAGCTGACCGCAGGTATGGCCAATGTCCTGTCCTCTGCCCCTCGGTCCTACGAAGCGGACCACGCCGACACATGCCTTGTCACCGCGATTTTCCATCTAAGTGCCGTCCCGCTAACCCCCTACCCCTGCAGGCACCACATACGAGGACCGCGAGCTCAAGAGCATCATCATCCGGACGGCCGGCAACCAGAGCAGCGCGGCCATCTTCAACTACGCCAGCATGGCCCACAACACCGACTTCTTCTTCAAGCACATCATCCCCGCGTCCGCATCGCCGGCCGAGGCCGCGGCCGCACGCGAGATCCCCGCGACGCTGCGCCTGGCCATCGAGGACAACTTTGGCAGCGTCGAGACGCTGCGCCGCGAGTTTCTGGCCATTGCCCAGGGCATGTTCGGCCCCGGCTTCATCTGGCTCGTCAAGGCCAACGGCCTCAACCAGATGGGCCGCGGCGGCGACAGCCTGCGCCTGCTGAACACGTACCACGCCGGCTCGCCGTACCCGGGCGCGCACTACCGCCGGCAGATGACGGACATGAACACCGTGGGCGCCGAGGTGGCCGAGAACGAAGACGACCCGGCCGAGAACTGGCTCAAGCGGCAGGCGGTCGCCGCCGACCCGAGCCTGTGGAAGCAGCCCGACCGGCGCCCGCCGGGCGGCGTTGAGGCCATCCCGCTGCTCTGCGTGAGCACGTGGGAGCACGTGTGGCTGCGCGACTACGGGCTGGGCGCGGACGGCTACGGCGGCAAGGCGGCGTTTGTCGAGGCCTGGTGGAACGCGATTGACTGGGAGGCCGTGGCGAGCCTGGCCAACCTGAACCGGCCGAAGCTCAAGACATAGGAGGGACGGCGCAAGGGACGACGAAGACGACGGGACGGTGACTGCATGCTGCCCACTGCTAGACGAGCGGGAAAAGCGGAAAAGCGGAAAAGACCCAAAAACAGACGAGGCGGAGACACCATCTGGCGTTGTATATGGCCATACTATATTTTGTACGATAGACAAAAAGAGAACAAAACATCCCAGTGTCAGTTGCTTTAGGAGTGCTTAAGCCTAGGCTCAGTAGGTTGCGCTGCCACATAACGTCTCACAATATTCTCATAACGGATGAAGTCATGTGATTGCCTTATGCTAAAGTCTGGGACAGCATTTTTATAGGAACTGCTTTGCAAACTACGCACTTTGGTGACAGTCACTTGTGCATCTTTGTGAGCTTGTTTAAAGTATAGATTAATCAAAATACCGTCCCATGACAAGGAGCGTGTTGTATATAGAGATAGTAAAGGTCCGTCGTGAGAAGGAGTACATAATATGAGTGAAGGAAAGAGAACCAGACGAATGAGAAAACGGTCAAGAGCAGTCACAAAAATCCATAGGTATCCCAGTTTCATCCAAAGCTATGGTATGCAGAGTAGTCAAGAAGAGAAGAACGTGAACGAATAAAAAAAAAAAGAACAAAAGGGAATGAAGAGAGAATGTAAAGAGGTTGAAGATAACTTAAGAGACAGACCGTTGAGGTAGGCAGGTATATCGCGGCGCAGAAAAAGGGAAAATAAAAGGACATGAAAGCATGACACAACACAATAAAAAAACAAGCTGCAAGTATGGTCATCCAATTTCATGCTGGAGCTGTAGCTGTTGCCACCACCCTTGGATCAGACTAGATCATATTGCCATTGACGCTGACCTCAAAGCCCTCGCCCTTTTGGCGCATGGCCTTGGCCAGCATCAGCTCGCGCATCCACTCGATGCGGTCGTCGCGGCTCTTGACGGCAAAGTGGTGCGTCTTGCCGGTGCCGTTGACCGCATCGAGGGGCGCAGGCGCGGAGGACGATGTGGACGCGGCAGACGACAGAATGGACGCCGACGACGGCGTCAGAACGCCGTTGCTGCCCGACACCGGCATGGCGCTGTCGCGCTTCTTGAGGCGCACGCCGCCCTTGGCATCCTGGGGGATCAGCTGGAACGCAAAGGCGGCGACGTCGTTCTTGGACGAGCCCGACGCCACGTTGTCGGCGCTGCCGCGGCGAATGTTCATGGCCTTGAAGGCGGCGTTGAGCTTGCTGGAGGACGCGGCCATGGTGGAGCAGGCGATGGCGTAGTCGTCAATGTCGACGTACTCGAGGGTGCTGTGGTGCATGCTGGCCTTGTCCTTGTGGATGGCCATGCGCGTGCCCTTGAGGGTGACGTAGCGGTCGTTCCACTCGTGGCGCAGCATCTTGGTCTTGCGCTTCTTGACCTCGCCCTGGTAGCTGATGCCGCCAGAGGCAGAAGCAGCGCTGTGCATGCTGCCACCGGCCGACGTGATGGCCGTGGAGGCACCCGAGACAGCCGATGCAGCCGAGCCGAGCGTGCCCGTGCTGGCGGAGGCAAGAGACGACGACGACGAGTTGAGTGTCGACGTGATCAGAGACAGCGGGGCAATCGCCTTCTCAAAGGTAGCCCGGTCGGGCGACCACGGGTACTTGACGCGGGGCGGCGGCTGCAGGTGACGGGCGCCAGCGTTGTTGCCGGCGTTCTGTTCGTGACCCAGACCCTCCGGGCTCACGCTGCGGTAGGTCGGGCGGTGGCCCATGGCCGATGCGGCGCGGGGCATCCCGGCAGGCATGACACGCGGGGCCGCGGACACCTGGTTCTCGGCCAGCGAGGGCAGAACCGGGAACGACGGACGGCGAGCCGAGGCGCGCGACATGGTGCGGGCCAGCGGTGCCCGGTAGTTCATGTCGGGCGGGACAGACTGCGAGGCATCGCGGGCGACAGGGCCGAGCGGGACGGCCGTGACGGGCACGTCGACCTCGGTGAAGGGCGTTCCGAAGCGGTACGGCGCAGTCGGCGTGCGGCTGTCAGGAGACTCCTCGATGGCGGTGTTTGTGTAGGACGTGGTGGACGTCGGTGCAGCGGACGCTGTCTCTGCCGACAGGGGGTAGGAGGTGCTTGGGAGAACAGCCACAGCGCCGGCCTCGGCCCCGGCCGAGAGGCGCTGCTGCTCTTCCAGGTGTTGCTTCTGCTGCTGCTGCTGCTGGAACTGCAAAAAGGCCTGGTTGTCCGGGACGGTGTGCGTCTGGCGCAGCTGGGAGGGGATGGCCAGCTTGGGCAGCGTGCGCAGACCCTCGTGCGGCTGCTGGACGCGGCTGGGGAACAGCTCAAAGGGTGGCGTGGGGGGCACCTCGCTGGACGTGACGTGCTGGTGCTGGAAGTCGAGGAACTGGCGCACGTTGTCTTGGGGATCGCGCGACTGGACGGCGCGCAGGCTTTCCTCCTCGAGCGCAATTGGTGCCTGGACCAGAGTGCCCGGGCCCATGACGTCGGACGAGGCAACAACAGAAGGGATGGCGTCGGACATGGGGCGGAAGACGTCGTCGTTGGGGACGATGGCGCGGGCCGTCTCAGGGTTGCCGGGGTCGCCGGCGACCATGATGACGCCGCCCTTTTCCACGTCGACAAAGGGGTGGTCCTTCTTGAAGGCCTCCATCATGCGCTGGTTGCGGCGCCACTTGCTGCAGTTCTCGCCCTTGGAGCACTGGTGCGGCTTCGGCATCATCTGCTCAATGCCGACGATGGAGACGGACTCCATCGGGGTGATGGAATCGTCGGCGGACATGGGGAGACCGGGCGAGGCGCGGGCCGGCTTCCTGCGGCGAGAGCTGGCGCAGCGGCGCATGGGCTTGTTGTTGCCGCTGCTGCCGCTGCTACCGCCGTTCAGACCGTCCTTGACGCTCACCTCGCGACGCAGTTCACGGCGCACCTCGCGGTCGGGCTCGTCCTCGATGGGGGTGTCGGGCCGCGGCTCGGCGGTCTTGACGTTCTTCATGGCGTTGATCTGGTTCCAGACGTTGGTGCGGACACCGAACGAGGGGATGCCGAGTTCCTTGAGGTCTTCGAACTTGAGCGTAATCAGGATGCTGCCGGTGATGTCGTTCTCGATGAAGCGTTCGCAGACCGGAAGCTCAATGCCAGCATTCAGCATCCACTGTGCGACCATCTCGGGCGACCACGCGGCAAGGGTGGCGGTGTCAAGCTCCTCGTGGGAGAAGCGGAAGGGGCCGCTCTGGGCCTGGGCCTGCTGCTGGCGCGTCGGAGGCAGCGGGGTGATGCCGTGCGGGAGAGGCACGCTGTTGTGGCCCTGCTGCAGCAGCTGCTGCTGCTGCTGCATGTGGAAGGCGACGGCGGCGCTGGAGGGGGCTTTCGGTGTGAGGGGCGATAGGCTGAGGGCGGTCTGGAACTCGGCGGAGAGCATCGACATGCGGAAGAGGTGCGGGCCGCGGGGACCTTCAACAGGCTTGGCCAGGTCGGTGACCAGCGGGAGGTCCGTGTGCATGCGACTTGATCGAGGCGTCGGGACCTCGTCATAGGAAGAGACGGTGGTGAAACTTGGCTGGCCCGACTGTTATCAGTTAGCGGTGTCAAGATGATGGCGAAGACAATGTCCTGCAGTCCTGCAGTCCTGCAGTCGATCTTGAACGTACCGAATTCATGCTCCCCCGTGGGGAGTTGTTGCCGCCGTCGACGCTCTCGTCGTCGCTCTCGTCGTCGCTCAGAATGTAGTCCTCGTCGAAATCGGACTCCATGAATTCTGTGGCGACGGAGACGGGCCGTTCTTGGACGCCCTTGAGACTGAAGAAGGACTCGTGCAGCAGCATGGTGTTCCTTTGCTTCATCTCCTGCGGCGGCCTCCGCGACGGCGCATACAATTGTGCGGACTGCGATGTTAGTATACAGGTGGTGTGAGGCAGGCGGTGATGCTTGTGCATGGTGTTGTATCGACTCACCATTTGAACAGCGGCAGCTGGTGTGTCCAGCCTTGCGACTTCAGTTGACAGTCTTTTGTCGTCGTATACCGACGTGAGTGACGTCGCTTTCTTTTTTTATTTTGTGAGCAGCGGCGAGATGCTTTCTTAACAAATTTGGTGCCGGTGATTATGTTTCGAAACGGTCGACTATATCCGGTGATGTAGTTTTGAATTTTGAATTTTGGTTTACCGTTGCCGGCGGGGCACTCTTTCTTTGTATATCCTTCGGCTCGATCAACGAGGGGAGAGACAGTCGCAGGCAGAGTGGCAGTCTTTTGATATATGGATGCAACACACAAGCGCACTTGGTTGGGCGGTTGTTTGAGAGAGAGACGGACAGAGACAGAGACAGAGACAGAAACCAAGACAGAGAAAATAATGGAAGCTTCTTTTTCAGGGGCAACAGAAAAATGAACAAAATTGGCAAAACAGAGAAACAGGAGAAAAAATCAGTCAAATCATTCTGATGCCGGAAGATGGGCGGCTACAGAGGGTTATGTATGGGAAGCTTGGGATGCTTGCGTGAATGGAATGGGTGTTCGAGGGCTGCGAAGGGCAATGCCAGTGTGCAAGTGCACGGGATGGATATTCTTAGGAACAGCGAACCAGACCAGCGTTGCAGCAGGGTGCAGCACGAGTGTGCTCAAAAAAGAAACAGGCCTCGAAAGAGTGTGGGCCGAACGGCAGCGGACTGGACGATGGTTGACAGTGGACTGTTTGTAGAGGCTGCACCTGGTAAACGAAGAGGCGGGCGATTGTGACGAAAAAAGGTGCGGTTGGGGGGTCACAGCACACAGCACACAGCACAGAGTAATTGCTCCGGACACAGCACTTGGCATATGCAGGTCAACCATCACCTGTGATGGGATATTGGAGAGTCCAGGGTGTGCAATATGTGAGAGGAGATTGAAGAGTGTCTCCATTTGCTGTGATGAGAGTTGAGTTTCGATCGCACAGATGGCCGACATACGGCAGCCGACGAACTGAGATGCTGTTTCTGCTCTGTTTCTTTTCTGTTCCTGTCCCTGTCCTGTTCTGTTTCTGTTGCTGTGCTGCTGCGCAGCCTCTGCTGTTCATTGTGGATCAACGCACCGCGATGCATTAGATGCATCAGCGGCATTCTCGTCTGCACGGCGGGCCTTTCCTGGCTGCTTTTGGCCCCCCTCCCGTTCTGTCGAGTCTCTCGCTCACGTTTCTCCTGCTTCTCCTGCTTCTCCTGCCTCTGCTGCTTCTTTCGTTAGCGGTGTTCAAGAATACAAGAATAGCAACAACAGCAGACTACTGCAGCGACGCGCCGGCGGTTAACCAGGGCGGTAAAGAAAAAAGTGGGCGCAAAGAGAGGTCCCACAGAAAGCAGGAAAGCAGAAAAGAGGACACAAGGACATACAGAAGCACTGGCAGCACTGCAAGTGACTGGGGTTGGTGTGGTACTGTGTGATGGACGGGGGATGTAAGTGACAATGGTGGAGCTCGAGGTTACATTGAGGTGAAGAGAGAAGAGAGGAGAGAGAGACAAGAGGAGGGGGAGAAGGGAGAGAGAGAGAGAGAGACAAGAGAGAGGGGGGGAATACAGGGATAAAAAAAGATACATGCAAGATGGGGGGAAAGAGCGACGGAGTGCAAGTCCTGCTGTGCGGGCAAGTGCTTGACGAGGGCATCGCACTTGCACTTTGGGCACTTACACGGCGGGTGTGGTGGGCAGGAGCGCACTGGCGCCTCGAGACGGCGGTGTGATTGGTGCGAGCTGGTGGACTACGGGAAGGTACGATGTGCCCATTTTTGTGACCGTTGGCCAGAGCCATGCCGATAAAAGAGGAAAGCACCAAGGACCAGAAGGCAAGACACGCAGACAGAGACAGACAGAGAGAGACAGAGACAATGGAGGGTTGACCGCCGCGCCGATTGGCCATAATGAGGATGCTGTGTGTGGCCAGATGCAGAAGACCAAAAAGCACTAGCACGCCATTGGACAGAACGCGAGGAAGCTGCCCGTCGCATGGAGAGAGCTGCTCCATGAATGTACCTTTCAGCAGTAATTCCGTTGCAAGATACTTTGCATGGTGCTGGGGGGTGTGAAGGAGGGAAGGCACGAGGGAAAGGACCAGAAAATCACAGTTTGAATTGCTGCAGGTAAGCGCCGACAGCCCTTTATTTTGATTGGCTGCGTGTTTATGGTCCCCTTCCCTCTTTCCCTCCAACAGCAGACCCACCTTTTTCGTAGCTCCCAGTGCAACTCCCGACCTCCGTGGTCGCTCGCCCTCTGCGCCCAACGGCCTCTTATGCAGTGGGCCAGCATCACCGCCGGTTGAGGGACGTGCGACAGAGTGTCGGGGACACAGCGATCTCAGTCCGGTTTTCCTTGAATGCGCCGGCCTTGGGCCGCGACCGTTTCTCGCCTCTTTGCCACGATTGTCCCAGGAGGCCTCGAACAGGCATAATCAACAGAGCGCAGGAACAGAGGGCAGAGAGCAGAGAGCAGAGGCAGCTGAGAGGAAGGCCAACAACAATAAGTCACGAGGCCATGTCAGCTGGGTTCTTCGTCGCAGGGCAGTGTGCATGTCCGCCCCAGTTTCCTGCTATCCCTGCGCTGCTTTCGTGCAGAAGACCAGCACACAGGGGAGAGGGAACGGGAACGGCCGCAGCATCGGCCGCGTTGTGCGCATGGACATAGCGAGGAGTTTGGTGCATGAACAAGCCAAAAAGAAAGCAGAAGCCCCTCTTTCGTCAGCATTGGGGGCCAGACACTGCAGGTCGGGTGCATTGCGGCGGACGAAGCACAGGCGGAAGACGGGGGGCAGAAACGGAAGACGGATTGTAACAGATAGACAAGGACGGTCGTCGAGTCTGCACTTTGGGCTGCATTCTGGGCTGCATTCTGGGCTGCATTCTGGGCTGCAGTCTAGTTTCCTGTCGCATGCAGCCTTCTGTTGCGTGGGTCTCTCTGCACATACTCTGCGGTCGACTTTGTCTCATGCTGTCGACTGCAGATGCACTCGCAGTTGTGTATGGCTTGGCTGCAGAATGGTGCTGTACAAAGAACGCCGTACAAAGCACAATGTATGTACGATTTATATTCGCTTGTCGTGCACTGTGCACTGACGAAAATATGTGAATTGAGACGTCCCTCTCAGGCCGTCTGCTCACAGCTCGGCTTGCGATCGGAGGAAATCGTTTCATGCAATTCCGTAGATTGCGAGCACACCAAACTCTGCGGTTAACATGCAGAGAAGACGACATCATTACAGCCCCTGCATCCTTTACACGGCACGCTGGGTGTCCGCTCCTGCATTCAATTCATTTGTTTGTGTGACGAGGCCGACGGGAAATCGAGGGAAAAGACGGATGTTGTTTGCAAGTCCCTTCCTTTGAAGCATTGGGCGCTCCGACGCGTGCCGACCAAAGGAACGTCGTTAGGCTGGTTCAAACCGAAGGTGGCGAAATCAGCGGCAATGTCGTTCAGATTGACAAAGACGGTGGGAGCTAGTTCAACCTAACGGTCCGTGCCATGGCTCACAAGGAGGGGAACACAGCAAAGGAGTGCTACGAAAGGACATGTACGGAGGATGTCGTACTCTGTACGCCGTCCTCTTTGCATAGTGTCATTCTGTGAAACAGTGGTTGACGAACCAAACGACAGAAGAGGCAACGGCCAGGCGGAGCAGAGACGAAGCAAGCTCAAGTGAGGAGAGCGAGACACGGAACCACGCTACTTCCTTTCGCTTGGCCATGTACTTGTATTATTTTTATTTTCACCCGGCTTGTTGCGGAAAGGAAGACGGGAGGGCAAGAGCATAAATCGAGTCTAGGCCGTCTCGGCCGTCATGGTTGACGGTGCGTCTTTCGTCTTTTCGTCTGTTAGCGTTCGTTAGCTTCAGTTTGGTCGTGTAAGTCGCTGCCCAATGGCAGGCGGTAGCAGGGATTGTGTATTTGATGCAGCAATTTCGGCGTGACCAGGCGAGACGGAAAGCGATAAGAGGCACATGACTGGACATTCCGGCTGACACAAGAGGAGGAAAAGAGTCAGTCCGCAGCAGCTCGATGACGTCCGCCTTGACGTCCGTCTTGACGCCCAATTGTCTCTCATAGCCTCCCACGGCCTCCTCTTGTTTATTCTTCTCATTTCCTCTTCCTCCAATGGCCTCTCTCTCCTGTATTTGGTTCGCCCTCGGTTGCTCCGCCGATCGCCAGGGTCAACAGAGACGAGGCCCGGATTTGCCTCTCGCAGGCAGAAGAGCAGCAAGGACAGGAATCCACGAATAAAATAAAACGACGAAAAATAGGAACACTCAACAAAAAGAGGCCTCGAACGACAGGGACTCACCGCCTCGTACTAGGTCACGAGGGTGCGTAGTTAGGCCGGGCCCAGCCAGAGCTCCAAGGGCCGGGGCTATTCGAGGCCATTTGACCGTTTTCTGTGCTTTTTCTCTCTTTTCTGTTGTCTTATTACTTCTTATTGTATGTATTACTCCATCTCGGAGCGTCCCTCATGACCCGTAGCCGATCTTTCAGGCCTGCGAATGAGAGTCAACAGTGGGCTTTTCTTGATGCTGAATGGTGAATGTCTTGCGGTGTACGGAGAACGAGGCAGTACGACGTAATTCCACGGGTCTCTCGCAGTTCGTGATGCCTACCAAAACACACAGCGTTTTCTCCAGGAGGCGGTCAACTCGTCCCCGGACTTGTGGCGGTTGCACGAGGTGTAGTGGCTTGTCACGCCACAGCAGCACGAGGCAAGAACGACCCAAGGCGCTGTGACTACTCTGTATGCATCGGAAGCGGGGCGCGAAAAAGCGTGTCAACACTTGGGGGTGCATAGGTGGTTTCCGTTTACGGAATGCCAGTTGTGCACA